ATTCCCTCGTCCACACCCCTTCCCAGGAGGGGTTCTCAAAGTGCCCGAGACCACCAGCAGCAGCCTGCCCACCCTGCACCCCGCCTCCCCCAGGGAATTGGTTAGAAATGCAAATTCTTGGGTCCCACCGCAGACCTGCTGCATCAGGGACTGTTAGCTGGAGCCCAGGAATCTGGGTTTAGCAAACCCTTCTGGGCCTACCGGTGCAAGCTTGAGATCCGCTGACCTCTACTGGGCGACCCTGGCCAACAGCCATGGCTGACTGACCCAGGAGTGGGCGCCTTCCCGCTATGGAGCCAGGCAGAAGCCCTGCCCATTTGTTTACACCAGTATCTGCGAATCCTGATGTGCCCATGGGAACTGTGCAGACGGTAACTTTTGGGGGCTAGAAACCAGATCTCATGGCCTTGGCTCATGTTTCCGGGCCCCTGTCCACTTCTCTCACTCGATCCTGACCTCTTTCTTTGCTTTAGACCAAGCTCTGCTGCGGTGGTGGCCATCTTAGGAGACCCCAAGGACGGCCCCACTCCACTCCTTCGCTCCGCACTCCTACGGCATCCCCCCAGGCTTGCCCCCAGCGAGTGGCCGCCTCCTCCTCCTTGGTACTGTTCCCGTGGCTTGCATGGATGCCCAGCGTTCTGTGTGGTCATCGCTGAGATCGTGCCCAGCACGGCACATGGCTCTTCTGGTCATACCCCCTCGTGGATGTAGTCTAAATTCTGGCCTCCACATCTGTGGCTAAGAAGCCCGTTTTGGAAGGCGTTCTCTGTAATGTTCCTGACAGGTTTAAGGTGAGATTAAGTATGCACCTTGGCAGAGGATGTGAGCCACATCACCTCCCTTGTTCCCTCGGGGCCAGTGTCTGCTGAGAGACAGCCCCCCCCCCCCCATCAGAGCCATTCCTCTGTGTCCAAGAGCCAGCTCTGGCCTTGTGAAGCACATTCATCTTGGGATGGAGTCGTGGAAGCCGAGACCAGAGGCTCCGGAGGCTTCGACGTGGAGACCACGGGACAGCGCAGAGGAGCCAGGCGAGACCAGGGGCCAAAGCAAGGAGACCATACGGCAGAACAAAGGAGAGGTCACTGCGACTAAGAGTCTAAGAGACTATGAGGCAGGGTGGTGGGCTGGCTTCCTGGCCCATGGAGGCAGAGACCCAGAGACCAAGAGATCGTGTGGCTCAGTGGCTGAGGACCAGAGAAGCTTGGCCACTAGCGGAGGAGAGGAGAGGCACTGCGGTGGGACCGATGACCGCATCGTCCTGTTTGCCGATCCTGACTTGTCACCCGTTAACTCCCTAACAACCCCACCCGAACCCCCGCCATAACTGGGAGTATGGGCTGGGGGTTCCAAGTGGTCTTTGCTACGAATGAGGGGGTCACAGCACAGACGTACGTACAGCGAGAGAAACAGTTGGGGTATGAACAGAGTGCAGAAAGGGGGAGGGGAGGTGCGTCTGAGCCCAGGGAGGTCGGCTATGGCCCCCGGCACTGTTTCCCCATGCTTCCCCATCTGCTCCGGCTCAGAGAGGTCACGCAGCTTGCCTGCCACCCAGCCAGGAGGAGCTGGAAACTGGAGTCAGGGGACCTGACTTTGATCTCCCGATGTCCCAGGCTCCGTGCAGAGCCAGATGTGGGCAGCTACTCCAAAGCACTGACTAAGCCAAATTAAGGAACTCAGGGGCTGGGGGGTGGGGGGGAATCTCCCTTGGAGCCTGCGACACTCCAAGGCCCTCACCTGATTGTCAAGGTGTGGTACTTCTGTAAGACAAGAGAGGGATGGGGGAGGCCCAGGGGGGAGGGTAATTAGGCAGGAGGAGACACGGAGGGTCCCGAGGGCCCGGGCTGGGGGCCCTTCCCTTGCCCACTCACTCGAATGAACTCGTGATCACTCCCGCCGCTGCACTGTTCCAGCACCTGCTCCGCCTGGGCCAGCCGCTCCCGAGTCCCCTGGGCCTGCTCCAGCTGCATGTTCAGGGAGGCCACAAGACCCCGGGTGTGGCCTTCCACCCTCGCCAGGCAGCCGGCCTTCTCCTCGTCCACCAGGTGGTGCAGCTCCTGGAACTCTTGGCGGATCACCCAGCTGAACACATCGGACTCGTTCTGGGGCAGGCAGGGGCCAGTCACAGCCGGACCTGCGCAGGGCTCTGGCACCTGACTCCCCGGCAGGCCAGGTGGGCTGACTCGTGCTATAGTGCTCACACTGTACCTGTGAGCCCTAAGTATGGCAGGAAGATGTGGTCGGGGGAGAGGGCAATGGGTAGCAGGGGGTGATGTCGGACCCCCATTCGCATGTCAGACAGCAGGGCTCACGATGAAATGTGTAGCTAAAGCCCCAAGCCAAACTCACTATCGAGTGGATGCCGACTCATCGCGACCCTATAGGACAGGGTAGAACTGCCCCTGTGGGTTTCTGACACCGTAACTCTTTACAGGGGAGCAGCTGGTGGTTTTGAACAGCCGACCTTGAAGACTGCAGGACAACGAGTAACCACTGTACCACGTGTGGCTAAGGACGTGCTTTATCCTGGAGCTCCATGATGGATAAAAACCTCACATTTGAGAGATCCTCCACTTTGGAGCGAGCCAGCCTAGGGCTTCCTGTGGGGCTGGAGTTGTGCCTCCATTAAACGGAGTGACACACACACACACACACTCATGGGTGAAGGCTAATAAAGCTCAGGTGCATGAGGCCCTGCTCCTCAGCCACCTTCAGGGCCCGCAGCCTCCACCCTCTTCTGCCCCGCCTGTCCCCTCATCGCAGACAAGTGGAACGTGGCCAGGGTCTTCAGGGCCTGCACAGGCCTGAGCCCCATGGGACTGGAAGGGCCCCAGCACCAACCCGCTCACAGCTGTGAAGGTCAAGCAGACACGGGTGCCCAGGGAGCGGTCAGGCCCAGGCCCAGGGGCTTTGGGTTGTTTACCTCCGGGACTCAGATTCTGGGTTATCTAAGTCTCAAGGGCAGGAAGGACAAAAGTTGATTTGGAACCACTCCTGACAACGAATTTGAATTCTCCCAGTAGGGTTTTCACTTTCCCCGGCCACCCAGGAATGCCTTGAATTCGGGCTCCCTGTGCGTACAGTAGGGCTGCTCACGGCAAGGTCAAGTTTGAAACCACCAGCTGCTTTGAAGAAGAAAGGTAGAGTTTTCTAGTCCCACAAAGAGTGACAGTCTCGGTAACCCACCAGGGCAGTTCTAACCTGTCCTACAGGGTGGCGTGAAGGTGGCATTGACTCAATGGCAGTGGGTGCAGGACTCTTGACGGTGTCATGGGTTATGAGATGGGCTGCTCACCACAAGGTCAGCAGTTTGAAACGACCAGCCGCTCCAACGGAGAAAGATGAGGCTTGCTGCTCCCGTGCAGATTTACAGCCTTGGAAACCCACAGGAGCAGTTCTACTCTGTCCTATAGGGGCGCTCAAGTACTTATATGGGGGAGCCCTGGTGCTGCTAGCCACATAGTCAGCAGTTCAAAACCACCAGCTGCTCCTTGGGAGACAGATGAGGCTTTCTCTCCCCTTCAAGAGTTACAGTCTCTGAACCCCACAGGGACTGCTCTCCTCTGTCCTATGGGGTCACTGAGTGGACACCGCCTCGCGGGCAGTGCGTTTGATGTTTTGAGTTTGTAGGCGGCGTGGGTTGGGGTAAAGGACAAAGAAGGTCGGGACCCCGACAGACAGCAAAGGTACTTGGTCCCCAGGGAGTGGGTGGAGAGGGCTCACTCACGACTATCCGGGTCCTGTTGTTCACTAGCTTGGCAATATGTTCATCCACCATCTTCTGCTCCTGCTTGAGGTCCGAGATGAGAGCCGAGAGCTCCTCCTGCAGGCACCGGCCATGAGTGGCTGACCCAGGCTCACTCAGCTCTGGGGGCCTAACCCGAGCCAGTGGCCACAGCGCTCCCCAAGGAAGGCAGCACAGGGGGCCAAGCTATCTGGGGGCCCATCGCGCCAAGGGATTGATGGTGAAAATGGCCAAGCCCAGGGAGGCTCTCAATGTCCACCTTCTCCGTGATATGGAGATGTCAAACACGGTTTGCGCTACGAGGAAGTCAACACCCAACATACAAGAGTCATGAAGCCAACACTTCTTACATGGAATGCTGCCAGTCGGGCACCCTCTAGGTTCTCTATTCAACTCCTGTACCCAATAGGTCCAGACTTATGGGCGGCTGGTCAAGAGTTACTGCCAAAAGGCGGGCCCCAGGAGAGGCTCATTTGAGAGCTCGTGGTGCATTCTGTGGTGCAGGTGAACCTGGTGACTCCTCGTTCCTCATGGAAGGCCACAATCCGGCAGGTTTGGGCCGCACCTGGATTCTGGGACCTCTTGAGGCTGAAGTCCGCTCCCTTCTCCTGGGTTGCCCTGGACCCAAATTTGACATTGCCTTAGGGGTGCCAGACCTGCCCTTTCAAGTGTGCAGAGATCTTTTGTTTGTGCCCTGGGAGTGTACGGACACTTTAGCTGGGATAGTTCCCAATGATCCCATGAGCTTTCAGAAGGGAACTGAATACAAAGCAGACTTAGGGGTGAGTAGACCTAAGAGTCCTGGCCGGGGGTCCTGAGACCCTCAGAACATCTCCCACTGGCCCAAGAAGATCAAGACCGATTATGGCCTTTCCAATCGAAGTACATCAACTTCGTCACAGAGATACCAGGATTATGGAAAGAAATGGCCCAAGATTCCAATAAATCCAAACTCAATGCCATCAGGTCGGTTCTGACTCATAGCGGCCCTATGGGTCAGGGTAGCACTGCCCTTGTGAATTTCTGTGGTGGTGACTCTGTAGGAGTAGAAAGCCCCCTCTTTCTCTCATAGCAGCTGGTGGTTTCGAACTGCTGACCTTTCAGTTAGCCGCCCAATGTGTAACCTACTGTGCCACCCTGGGGGTTTCTCAAGATCCCCCACAGGTAGGAGCAAACAGCAAAGCCTGGAAGGGATGTGACAGAGAAACGCAATAGGAGGGCACCACAGAAACCCAAAGCCCAAGTGGGGACCCACAGTGGGGCCCAGATTCTTGGCAGAGATGATGAGCAGGAACCTTCGCTCCTGCAGTTCTCCCCAACAAAGCCCAGTCCCAGGTCCATGCCCCCCCAGGCCGGCTTCTTCCTGCCACCCTCCCCCAGCGCTGCTTCCCCGAGATAATCAATTCTGACTGCACTTCTAAAAAGAATGCTTTCCAGCCCCGATCAGACATCTTTCCCCACGGGAGCTTGTCCTTCCGTTGTTCTGCCTCCATGATTTTAGGGGGCCACACGTAGCCGGCTTCCCTGCTGCTTCTGCCTGTTACCTCATGGCCTCCCCCACCCCACCCTGCCCGGCTCCTTCGGGTCCCCGCAGTGTCTCCCTTTATCATCCCACAATCTCTCAGGGTTGGCCATCCATTTCCACTCAGACCTCGATTACGCCAACGTCCTTGTCATCCGATCCCTCACGGCTTCCAGACTATCTGCTAGATACAGTCTCATGATTGTCTGGACACCTCACCCTCCACCTGCCCACTCTGAGCCTTCCCCCTTCCCATGTTCCTTCCCACTGTCTGTGCAAGAGGACTTGTCTTTCCTCTTTCCTCACCTGCACCCCCATATTTTGCCTTCCTACCTGCAAATGATCCCTGGGAGTCCCTAGGTGGTGCAAATGGTTAATGTGCTCAGATGCTACCTGAACGATTGGAGGTTGAAGTCCACTGAGAGGTCCCTCGGGAGAAAGGCCTGGAGATCTACTTCTGAACAAGCAGCCTTGGAAACCCCGGGAACACCGGTCTACGCTGACACACACGAGGGCTTCAAGAGTTGGAATCAGCTCAGTGGCAACTACTTTTTCTGTTCGGTTTTGCTGTTAATTATCTCCATAGCCTGTCCCAGCCCTCCTTCCCATTCCCCCTTACTCGGTTCCTGAAGCCTCCTATTTTCTACCCCATCTCAATCTCACCTCCTGTCCTCAACTTCTCTTCAATGATTTATCTTCCCTTGCGTGTGCCATGCTGTTAGCCTCCTGGCGTTTTGCACCTGATATCTTTACACTAGGAGCCCGGGTGGCATAGTGGGCTATGTGTTAAGCTGCCGACCGTAAGGTCAGTGGTTCAAACCCACCCAATGCAGCAGTGGAGGAGATACGCTGTCTGCTGGTGGGGCAGGGTCCTGTGAGTGGAAATCAACTCAATGGCATTGAATTTGGTTTGGGCTGTTCTTGTGGTCTGCAGACCAGCTGGATCATAGAGGCAGGAATTCATTGCTTGAGCTAATATGAGCCAATATATTTCAGCGCGCTTACTCTGAAATTCAGTGGGTAACAAAACAAAGCCTTTGCCTTGATGACCCTACCTGAGTGACAGGGGGTGGGGACAAGCACTCTAGAAACAAACAAGAGCCGCACAGGAAAGTAAACCAGAAGGAGCTAGCTGGTACCCGGGGCTCTCCAGCAAGTGTGTTACTGGAATCCAAAGCATCTGGCTGTAGAAGCAGGTTAACCTGTAATGGATGGATGGATGGAGAGATGGATGGATGGATGGAGAGATGGATGGATGGTTGGATTGTTGAATGGATGGATAGATGGATGGTTGGCTGGCTGACTGGTGGGATGTCGGATGGATAGATGGATGGATGAATAGTTGGATAGATTGATGGTTGGTTGGATGGATAGATGGATGGATGGTTGGATGGATGCATGCATGGATGGATGGATGGATGCCTGAATGAAGGGATGGATGGAGGGATGGCTGGATGGATAGTCGGATGGATGAATAGTTCGATATATGGATGGTTGGCTGGCTGGCTGGATAGATGGGTGGATGGTTGGATAGATGGATAATAGTTGGATAGATGAATAGTTGGATATATGGATAGTTGGATGGATTGATGAATGGATGAATAGTTGGATAGATGGATGGTTGGCTGGCTGGCTGAATAGATGGGTAAATGGTTGTATAGATGGATGAATAGTTGGATAGATGAATAGTTGGATAGTTAGTTGGCTGGCTGGATAGATGGGTGGATGGTGGGATAGATGGATGAATAGTTGGATAGATGAATAGTTGGATAGTTGGATAGTTAGTTGGCTGGCTGGATAGATGGGTGGATGGTGGGATAGATGGATGAATAGTTGGATAGATGAATAGTTGGATACATGGATGGTTGGCTGCCTGGCTGGATGTTGGCTACATGAATGGATGAATAGTTGGATAGATGGGTGGTTGGCTGGCTAATTGGGTGGATAGATGGGTGGATGGATGCCTCCAAAAGGTCTGTTCCAGGGCAGGGCTGGAGGGAAACCGAATCTTCCTGCTTCATAACCCTGTTTTGCCCTGGGGGAGAGTCCCAGCCCACAGCCAGGGTGCTACAATCCATAGGCCCTGACCCTGCACCCCTGGGGTCCCTTCCGCCTTCCCACCTTCATGCGGCTGTGGACAGTGGAGACAGGAGTGATGCGGTGATGCTGGTGGGACCCCAGGAGGCCACAGAGACGACAGACGAGCTCCTGGTCCTTCTCGCAGAAGAGACTGAGTGGGTTCCGGTGGTGGGTGCAGACTTGGGGCTCCGGGTCTTTGGGAAGACGCAGGGCTTCAATCACCCAGGCCAGGGAAATATTGGGCGGAGAGCTGCTGCCGTCCACTGACTTCTGACACACGGGGCAGCGCAACTCCACGTCCAGGTGGCCAGACAAGGAGTCCAAGCAGCCCTTACAGTAGGAGTGGCCACACTGCAGCACCTGGGGCTCCTTGAAGACCTCCAGGCAGATGGGGCACCGAAGGCGGTCCTCCAGCTCAGGTACGCTCACCTGCCACGCCATGCACCTGCTGAGCACAACAGGAGGACAATCCCCTCCACTCCACTGCCCAGGGCTCCATCCACCCCACCCCCAGGATCGAGGCATGCCAGTCCAGGATTCGAGTCCTAATCCACAGTGCTCTTGGGCCTCAGTTTCCCCAGGTGTAAAGCAGGCCATGTCAATGAGAAAACGAGAATCATTCCGGGTCAAAATTCAAATTTGGTGGTAACCCAGAAAGGGCCCAATTGCAGGGGGATTTGGAGTGTTATTCATGGATGCAAGCTTTCATCACAGCAGGAGTCCTACCTCCACAGCACCTTCCACACCGCCCGCCCCACCACCCTCCAGCAAACCAAGCAAAGGCTGTTTGCAGAAGCAACTCTGGCCTTCCCACCCTGTGGAGCACCGGCTGGGAGGATTCATATCATAAATCACTCCGGAGTTTTCCCTTTGAGATTCTGCCGTCGGGTCTGGAGCACGTACGACAGATAACCCAAGTCACTCCGCCTGGCTCCAGGGAGTCCTCCAGGGTCCCACCCCAGACCCCACGCAAATGATTGATCAGGACAGAGAACACCGGGCCTGAGGCTGAAGCAGAGGCAGGCAGACCCCGGATGTGGTACTACCTGATTCACGGTCCACTGAACTTCTCACCAGACGCTCAGACCACTTGACCAGATGAGGGCTGAGGCCGGCAGGCTTGTTTCCTCCCAGGCGGGGCCAGCAGGCACAGAAACCGGGGAACTGCTGCTGCTGGCTGTCCGCTCAGTCACCCTGTTTCTGCCTCCTCCTCCTCCTCCTCCTCCTCCTCCCCTTCCCAGCAGCACCCTGAAAGGTTCAAGGTCACCCAGAATCAGGTGGAAACTGGGCCACATCACGGGACCGGGAGGCAGCTTCTTCTCAGCCAGCTCTGATAACGGCAAGGTCCAGGC